GAAAAGTCAATCCGGGTGCGTTGGACTGCCTGGTCTCCCGCCTCGCCCCGCGGGATCTGTGCATGCACCTCCCTCCCCGGCCCCAGTAGTTCGAGGTCTCCTTGACGGGGTTGGGCCGAAGTAGATGGGGTCGGAGGATGGCACCGCATCGCCGATGCACGGTCGACGTCGGCGATGCATCCGAGACGTCGGCGTGGAGAAAATCACGGCCCCCATCAAGCCGCATCGCCGATGCATCGGCGATGCATCGGCGATGCGGCGCGATCCTCCGACCCCATCTGCGTGCTCCGACCCCATGGATGGAGGGCCCCGACTAGTGCAATGCGAACCTCACCCTCAAGAAAAAACGTCCATGGCGCGCCCGCGCCCCCGTGGCACCTCCCCCGGCGCGCTGGCTGCCGCACCGAGCCGCGCCCCGTGAGGCACTCCGCGCTCCCGGGGAACGCTCCAGTGCCTCCCCGCATGCCGCCCTCCACGGCCGAAGACTCCGGATTCGGCGATGTTTCAGGGGGACGTAAGACCAGGGTACAGGGGACTCGGAAATCCCCGACGAGGTCGTCAAAAAAATGACGAGGCCGAGCCTGCATTTTGACGAGGCCTCCCGCTGCAGACATCCCACGAAACTCCTACTCGTCAAAATCCGAGTCGCGGTCGTCAAAAAACGATGGCGAACCCGGTCTTACGCTCCCCCGAATGTTTGCAGCGCTCCGTGAACGGGGGAGCAAACACTGACAGAAGCATAACAACTCGAAGGTCCGCGCGGATTTCTTGGATCGGGACCCAGGGAGGGGTCCTCCCGTCGCCGCGGCCTCGGTCCACCTCGAGAGCCTGGCCCGAGCATGCCGGAGGCCCCACAGCGGTCGACTGTGTTGGAGGATAGGCGAGAAAGTAGGGGAACAAACAATGACGTGAACATTAAAACGCGGAAGTCCGCGCGGATTTCTTGCATCGGCACTGGGGCCCCCTGGCGGCGCCTCCGGCGCCGAGCGCGCCAGGGGGGGGGGCCCAGCTCCAATTCAAGAAATCCGCGCGGACCCCCGAACTTTTGTGTGTATGCCATTGCTTGTTTCCCTAGTGAAGCTGCGAGCGAATGATCCTTTCCCCACCGCTGTGCTGCCGACGGATCGCTCACAGGCCCCTCCACAGGGGAGAAGCTGTGGCAAGAGAGGCGCGGCGAATAGTCGCCACGTCTGCACACGTACAAGCGACATGAAGGAAACAATATGCCTGCATTGGTAGGTGGTCGCGATGTGTCGGACGGCCTCATATGAACTCCCTCAGCCTGAATCGAATGGGAGTCCCCACCGCTCACTCGTTTACCGACCTTCGTGAACAGAATAGGGCGAACGGTCGTCCCATAGAGCGCCGACACGGCAGCGCAGAGGGAGAGTTCGGCCACGTTGGCAACGACGAGCTGCCGATGAAAACAAATTGCGCGTACCTAAGGAGATAAAGCCAAAGGCATCTATGTCGACCGCGCTAGGAGAAGTCTTCGTTGCGGCGGAAAGGGAGAGGTACCTCACCTCACACGCGCGAGCGACCATACGAAGGCCATCCGCTGTCCGCCCCCTCCTGGCCATGAGAACGCCGCAGTCCAACCTCACAGCCAACATGGCAAGAGACGCTCCACGCCACTGGAAATGGCATTTGTCGTTGGACTCTCAGATACCGGAGGGTGTACACAATGGATGTATCTTGCTCGGGTTACCCCGTTGAAAGACCTTGAACCAGACTCGAACTCACTGATTATAATTGTGTGAGCATGAGGAACATGTTTCCGATTAGGGCAAGGCCCTGAGGGACTGTGAGGACACCAGGGTCACGTTGAATTTAAAAGGCGGGCCTACGGATGGGGCGCCCCGGTTGTGAAGACAGCAAGGCGCGAGATGGGCGGGGCCTGCTACGCTCGTGCACCCCACGAGGGTGGGAGCTGCAACCTGGCCCGAGCAACACTGGACACCGCAAATGTTGCAGATTCGGGGGGGCTTCGTCTACCCGATCGCTTGGTTACTCGCGTCGATTCCGCGTCTAATCCGCGCTTCCCCCTCGAATCCACGTCATGCCCGCCACATACACCGCAATTCGCAGGACTGGCAATGCTTCAGTGGCCGATGTTCGGCATGGCTCGCGTCTTTGGTCATCTTTATGCAGCAGATACTCAACTGTCACTCTGCCCCTTGCAGAGAGCGCACAAGCAGGAAACCGCAGTTGCTGCGCCCTCTAGCGCTTGCGCGGAGCCGTTGATGCACGCAGCACGCAGCCGCGCCGATTGACGTATGCATTGTGGCTCGTTCAAGGGACCACGCGTGACGAGGACCCCCCCCTCCCGAGACGCCACTGACTTCAGACCCCCGACGTCGTTTAGCGGCGCGCACAAGGGGGTGGACGGAGGGGGGAGGGCTTCTTAGAAGGAGGCTGCTTCTTAGAAGGTGCCAGCCTTACATCTATAGATAAGGCCCGCGCCTTCTAAGAAGCACTCTTCCCTCACCCCACCCCCTCTGCGCGCGGCTGAATCGGGACTCCTTAACAACGTCGAACCCCAGGAGGTCCGGACCCCTTTCCCAGGGCTGGCTTTTCGACCTGGGTCGTTTTCTGATCCCGCGGCCTGGTAGAGAGCCCCCGGGGGCAGAACATAGCGAACAACCTCCCGTGGTGTTTTTTTTGCAGCGCTGTGGTAATAACTCGTAGGGATGGTTCACGCATGTAGCGATATTGATCGGACGGGGGCCCACATAAAAAAGAGGCTAGGCGTCCGAGGCGTCGCTCTCGGCGCGCCACGGTGTGCAAGGCCCCTGCGAGCCTGAAGGCAGCGGCAGGGCAGCAGTGGAGAGAGCGGCGAAGGAGGAGGAGGAGGAGAGGCAGGAATACACATAACAACCACACCACACGTTTTGTTGGTCGAGAAATAACAATAACAATGATAATAATAGAAATAATAAGACAAAAATAACAATGACAATACTGCTAGCAATAAGCATGCGACTACTATTACTACTACTACTACTACTACTACTACTACTACTACTACTACTACTACTACTACTACTATTAGTACTACCACCACCACCACCACTACTACTACTACTACTGCTGCTACTACTACTACTACTACTACTACTACTACTGCTACGACTACGACTACTACTACGACTACTACTACTACTACTACTACTACTACTACGACTACGACTACGACTACAACTACGACGACTACTACTACTACTACTGATACTACTACCACGACTACTACGACTACTACGACTACTACGACGACTACTACTACTACTACTACTACTACTACTACTACTAGCTACTACTACTACGCCTACTACTACCACTACTCTACACTACTACTACTACCGACTACGACTAGCGAACAACGACTACGACCTACGCTCCGACTACGACTAAGACTACCTACTACTACGACGACGACGACGATGACAACGACGACGACGACGACACCGCGACGACGAACGACGACTACTATACTACTATACTCACAACTACGACGACGACGACTACGACGTACGACCGACGACGACGACGACGACGACGACGACGACGACTACTCTACCAACTGCTACTGCTACTGCTACTGCTAATACTAAATACTACTACTACTACTAACTAACTACTCTACTAATATACTAATACCACTACCTTACCACTACCGGACTACCACCACTACTACTACTACTACTACTACTGCTACTACTACTACTAACTACTACTACTACTACGACTACGACTAGTTACTACTACTACTACTACTCACCACTACTACTCTACTACGACTACTACTTTCTTCTTCTACTACTATACTACTACGAACTACTACTACTACGACTACTACTACACCTACTACTTACTACTACTACTACTACTACTACTTACGGACTTACGACTACGAACTACGACTACACTACGTGAATACGAACTACTACTACTACTACTACTACTACTACGATATACTACTACTACGACTACTACCATTATCACTACTACTACTACTACCACTACTACTACTACTACTACTACTACTATTACTACTACTACTACTACTGCTACTACTAATACTACTACTACTACTATCACTGCTACTACTACAAATACGACTACGTCTACGACTACGACTACTACTACCACTACTACGACTACTAACTACTACTACTACTACTACTACTACTACTACTGCTGCTACTACTACTACTACTACTACGACTACGGCTCCGACTACGACGACAACGATTACTACTACCACTACTACTACGACTACTCTACTACTACGACTAATACTAAAAATACTACTACCACTACGACTACGACTACGACTACGACTACGACTACTACTACTACTACTACTACTACTACTACTACCACTACTACAACTACGACTACGACTACGACGACGACGACGACGACGACGACGACGACGACTACTACTACTACTACTACTACTAAGGACTACTAACTACTACGCTACGACTACGACTAACGACTACGACTAGACTACTTCGACTACACAACAACTACTAACTACTACTACTACTACTACACACCCACTACTATCTACTACGACCTCGACTACTAAGCTACGCCTACTACACTACTACTACTACTACTACTACGACTACTACTACTACTACTACTACTACTACTACTACTACTACTACTACTACAACTACAACTACAACTACTACTACTACTGCTGCTACTACTACTACTACTACTACTACTACGACTACTACGGCTACTACGACTACTACGACTACTACAAACACGACTACGACTACGACGACGACGACGACGACGACGACGACGACGAACACTACTGCTACTACGACTACGACTACGACTACGACGACTACTACTGCTACTACTACTACGACTACGACTACGACTACTACTACGAAGAAGAAGAAGAATCCTAACAATAACAACAATACTACGAATACAAAGAATCTCAGTGCCGCCCACGCGCGCACGCCCACGGCGGCCTAGCAGGGATGTGGCCAGCCACACCGCGAGGAAATACTGGTGGCTGTCTCCCCACCAGACCTCCGCGCGCGCAGGAGCCCCGCCTCCTACTCCTCCGCCCCAGCACGCCCCGCCTCCCTTGAGCAGGGACCGACCGTCCCGACATTTCTATAGGCCTACCACGACACGTTCTTAGAACCCCCGACGTTTTAATAACACAAACAATGTTATTCGAACATACGTAAGCCCGATGTGTTCGAACAAGACAGTCCCAGCCAGAAATGTTCTAAGAACAGTTCGTGCAAACCACAAAAGGTTCTTAGAACATTCTTTGGTGGGCCTACAGGCGAGCCGGGACGATTCGCCACTGCTGGACTCCCTCGTCTCTTCTTTTCCCTCCCACGAAAACGCTCAAGGCCACATCAACGCAAACGACACATGTGCAGTTCGATGCGTCCAAGAAGAGCGGCTCCTCCGCTGGCGCTGGATCACCTCCTGGCCGCCTCTGCCACCACTGCCTCCCCCACTTTTCCCCTGCTGCCCCGCTCACTTCCACCAATCCTTCAAACCGATCCACCTTCCGCCCCTCGAATTATGAGCAGGGCCCCCAAAAATACGACCCTTAGGAAACAATTCACGGAAGACGCTGGTCGTCTCCATGGCGCCCAACAGCGCGCCCTATCGCGCGCAAAGCGGACAGATTGCATCTGCATCACATGGCGCATCTGGCAGCTATTCGTAGTTATTGAGCGCTGTATGGGTGCTGATTCGGCGCTGTTGGGCACTACTTGGCCCTAGAGAGCGCGATGCGCCGATAAACATTCAATCCGCAACGATCGGTGATGGGGGAACCCCCGTTGGTAAAACGTGGTTTAGTGAAAACGACCTCGGGCCCAAACCTGGCGGGCGCAAGCCAAGAAAATGACGGCAACGGCGCCCTCTTGAGAACCGGAAACGGACAATTCACTAATCAACGTGTCACGGTGGGGGTTCTGTCGATCCCTCGAACGATCGATCGAGGCCCTCGAACGATCAACCGAACGATCAACCGAACCGATCCCTCGAACGATCGATCGAGCGACCGATCGGTCGCCGGCGGTGGAGCGCACGCCCAGGAGGCCCAAGAGGAGCCAAAGGGATCCAACAACGGCAGCGCACCCTCTTTGCCATCGCTCAAACGTCCATTCCCCGTGCATGGGTCGGTGTTGTCCGTTTTGTCTTTGCTCGAAGATCCAGGCTGCCCTCGATGGTCCTCGCCGAGAAAAGATGCACACGTCCGAGCGATGCCGAGCCTCGATCCTCGAATGATCGAAGGGTCGAAAGATCGATCGATACCTCGAACGTTCGAAGATCGGCGGCAGATCTGAGGGCGGGCTCTCGATGGCAGGACTCCGAGACAGGCAGGCCTCGGGGCCCTGCCCCGAGATAAGAACATCCTGGGACACTCCTCCTCGAACATGGCCCGAGGCTTACACAACCACAACCCCCTGCTGCTCCTCTGACCTCCTCCTCCTCCTCCTCCTCCTCCTCCTCCTCCTCCTCCTCCTCCTCCTCCTCCTCCTCCTCCTCTCCCTCCTCCTACATTTCCTCCTCGGCCTCCTCATCTTCCTCATCCACCCCCCTCCTCCTCCTCCCCCCCTCCTCCTCCTCCTCCTCCTCCTCCTTCTCATCATCATCCTCCTCCTCCTCCTGATCCCAATTTTACTGCCGACGCTGCGCAACATGAATGCAGAGTGGGCCCGAGAAGCCCCGTGTTGCCTCCTAGATGGGCCCTGGGCCTCCCGCAGGGAGGACCATGATCATTGCGTGACTATCGCGCTCGTGCCCTGACAGCTTTCGACGAGCCTCGCGGATCCCAGCACAACGCCGCGTGGCCCGAGACGGCCGCTGGAGCAGTCTAGAACTCCAAGGACCCTCCCAAGGCGCCGAAAGCGTCCCCCCGGAAATCAAACTCGGGGGCGGGCGAGGCCTCTCAGGTGGCCCAAGGCACCCCTCGGAGGTCCAAGAGGCCTACCGGGATACCCGAAAGCCTTCGCAAGAAGCCCGGGGGCCTTCGGGGGGCTTTTCAAGAAGCTCAAGAGGCATCTCAGGAATTCCAAGGTTCTCTCCCAAGCAATGCCCAGGAAGCTCTTGAAACTCTCCAGGCGGGGCCAGGGGGGCCCTCGGGAAACGCACCTGGGCCTTCTAAAACCAAACCTGCACAACCACATAAGAACCAGAGGCCCACCTTATATTGTAGGGTAGGGGGTCATCCTTTCGCGAATCTCTGACGAAAGTGGAGCACGTACCCAGCAGTATATGATAGGAAATGAAGCCATACATAGTTGTATGGGATCACCTTCTGACCTGGCCCGACAGCCTCGCAGGAGTCTCTGCAGCCCCTGAGACCTTCCCCGAGGCCCGAGAGGCTTGTCTGGAGACCCGCGAGGCCTCCGAGGAGGCCTGGAAGCCCCGCCAGCAGGCTCAGAGGCCTTCTGAGGACGCTCAGGAAGCACTCCCGGAGAGCCCAACAAGCTCATCGGAGGGAGACACCTCCCTGGAGGCCCTAGTGCGCCTCTCAGGAAGCCGAGGAAACCTCTGAGGAGGCCCTCTCGGGAGCCCCGGGAACCCCTTCGGAACAGCAAAAGGCTTCTCGGGAAGCCAGACAGTGCTCGCCGGAAGCCGAAGAAGCCTCTCAACAAGCCCAAGAAATCCCTCGGCAGGCCCAGGGGAGGGGTTCTCCGAAGGCCAACGTCGCTTCTCATGAGGCCCCAGAGACCTCCCTGATGGCACAAGAAACTTGTCAATCATCTCGGAAGAAAGAGACCACAACACAAACAACGCAAGCACGCTGGGGTGCAACTCGCACGCGCAAGATCCGAGGGATCGCGAGAAAGACCAAACGGTAGACCAGAGAGAAAGCCAAGAGAGCGTAAGGACCCGTTCCCCCCCGCGCCTGCGTTCGCCCCCGTCGCCCCCTTTGCGCCCCCCCTCTTCACCTATCATTGACTTGATGTTGCACCCGGCCCCCCTTCTCCGCTCCGACTCGCACGACAAAAAAAACGACCATGAAACCAAGCCCCGACGCTGCGCGGTCAGCCGGGGCATTGGACGCATCCCGACATCCCGCCCTCCCCTTGACCCGAAGCCAGTGCGGGAGATAAGCAGAATTAGGCGGCCAGACGGGTTGCCCAACACCCCCCGCAAAAATGATTGAGACAAACCATATGTGGGGGTACGTGTTCTCGAAGTGGTCGGCTCGCGTGCAGAAGGGTTTGGGAACGTCTCGGGCAATTCCACGACGCGAGCATGCTTGGGTCTCCTCCTCCTGCGCCTCCTGGTCCTTGACCTCCTCCTCCTCCTCCTCCTCCTCGTCCTCCTCCTCCTCCTCCCCCTCCCGCTCCCCCTCCTCCTCCTCCTCCTCCTCCTCCTCCTCCTCCTCCTCCTGCTCCTCCTCCTCCTCCCGAGGAAACCCAAATGTACCGATACCGCTACTCCCCGGACATCTCCCGGGGTGCGTATTGACCAAGATTTCGAGGCGAATCCGGCGGTGGCGACGAGGGCCTCCCAGGAGGCCCCAAAAAGGGGAAAGGGGGCAAAGGGGGTAGAGGTATGGGTACCTTTTCCTCCTCTGACCTCCTCCTCCTCCTCCTCCTCGTCCTCCTCCTGCTCCTCCTCCACCTCACTCTCCTGCTCGGTCTCCTCCTCCTCCTCCTCCTCCGCATCAGCAGCAGCACCGCGGCTGCCAGCGGGGCCCCCCCCCCGAGAGGGCGGGCGGCGGGTCTGCTGAGCGGCGGGCCCCAGCGCCCCAGGGCCCGGTGCCGACGCTGCTCACGATGGCGCCGAAGGCGGGGCGCACCACCTCGTTGTACATGTCGCGGGAGAAGGCCTGTATAGGGCTGCCCAAGTCGAGCCGTGAGATCCGGAGGAGCGGCCAGACAATCCGAGGGAGCACCGAAGGGGCTCGACGCCAAAAAAGCAGCAGACCGTATGCACACCCGAGGAGCCACCGAGCCCCTTCCGAACTCGAACTGGAACGCATTCAAACGAGCCGACTGTAGAAGGAACATCCTGGAGGCCTCGCGCGAAGACTTGAGACCCCACCTGCGTCGGATCGACGTCGGGTTCACGTCGGAGCGCGTCGGATTCATACTGGATGCTTGCGTCCGAACGGCGCCGCGAGAACGTCGTCTCATTCACGTCGGGGCGAACGCGCGGACCCTAGGTAACACAACGATTGCGCGCTGCGCGAGACAGCACGTTCGAAGATGACCTTCGTCCGATGCTTCTGCGCAGGCTGCTGCATGGAGAGCCCCTGGAGGGCGAAAGCTAGCTGCGCTGGACACACAGAACACATCAGCATCCGTGCAGGCTTGATTTATCCTTTCGACTGGGGAGGAGACCTGCAGAGCTGCCCGGGCAGCCAACGTTAGGCGGCAACTCCTGGGAGGCATTCGCAAGAACGGCTAAGGGCTATTAAACGAAGGCAGATCGAGCCCAAGAAGAAACCCCAAGACGCCGCATGAAACGGGATACTCTATCGGACTCAGGGGAACCATGCCCAGGATTTGGCTGATCGTCGACTACTTGTATGCTGTGCCCATCGTACTGAAGAACCACATTCCAGAAATAACTAACTTCGAGCACCCAGACAAGTATCGAAGCAGTGTCGAACCAGTATCGCCTCCCAGGGCCCCACGCGTGAGGACCCTCCAATTTCGGTACTTTCTTGGTGCTCGAAGCTCTCTCCGGCGATCAAGGCTAAAGCAGGTTGGAACATCACAAGGCTGCTTACGGATGTACCTCCCAGGTGCTGCATCCTAGCCAACGTGTTGCACAAACATCTTCTCGGGAGCGGCCAAGAGGGGGGTGTCCAAGAGGGGGGGATACAAATCATAACCGGCAGCATGTGCGCGGCCCAGCGGGGGGGGCCAGGGACGTAATGACATAAGAAGAGACGCCATGAAATCTGGGGAAATATCATGGCCCCCGCCATGGTATCCCCCCCCCTAGTCATTACCCCCCTCTTTGCCGCCCCCGATCCCGATCTTCAACGGCGGAGGTTCTTCACAGCATCCTCGGGCCGTGCCCCCCCCCCCCCCCGCCAGGGCCCCCGGGGGCCATCGGCGAAAAGCGCACAGGCACCCAACGCCTGGCGGCGCGCGGAGGGGGGGGGGTGAAAGGGGTTGAGGGAAGGCTTCTTAGAAGGAGGCTGCCTCTTAGAAGGCGCGGGCCTCACCTGTGCCTTCCGAGGGCCTCTGGAGCCAAGACCCGAACAGTGGGAACTGAGTATCTTTTCGACGCCCTCCTTGAAGGACTGGGATCCCACCTGATAGTGGAAGGTGATGCAGTGCTCCGTAGCACCCGCCGCGCGACAGCGACGACGACGTCGACTACATATACGATTACCCATCGGTCGGGATAAGTAGGTAGAAACATGAAGTAGGAAGGTGTTGAAACCATATTGGGTGTCCGCCTGCATCCTAAAGCGGACGGAAAAGGTGAAGCCGCTCGATCATTGAAGAAGAAAGGCGTTTAACGTAGGAATCCAAACATACCCACTTTCAACGACCGATGCGTACGACTACGACCACGATACGACTACGGCTACGACTAGGTGGCCACCCAAACTAAGGACAGAGACGAGGTAGCCGCCACCGCTAAGGAATGAGAGAGGAAAAGAAGGGAGGAGGAGGAGCAGGAGGAGGAGGAGGAGAAGGAGTACGAGGAGGAGGAGGAGGAGGAGGAGGAGGAACGAGGACGAGGCCAAGGGAGGAGGAGGAGTAGGAGGAGAAGGAAGAGGAGAAGGAGAGAGGAGGAGGAGGAGGAGGAGGAGGAGGAGAGGACGAGGAGGAGTTCAAGTAGCTTGAACAGGAGGAGAGGAGGAGGCGGAGGAAGATGAGAAGGGAGTAAGAGGAGGGGAGGAGAGGAGGAGGAGGAGGAGGAGGAGGAGGAGAAGCGAGGAGGAGGAAGAGGAGGATCAGGAGGAGAGACGGGGCTGCAATCTCCAAGGGCCTGGCGTGGCGCCCGCTGCCGCTCTCCCTCGCGGCCGCCCCGGCGCCCCCCCCCCACTCCGCCGGCGGGCACTCACTCGCGAAGGGAGCACTCTCTGGACGGCCGCTGACGCGTGCCCTCCTCCTCCTCCTCCTCCTCCTCCTCCTCCTCCTCCTCCTCCTCCTCCTCCTCCTCCCCGCTCCTCCTCCTCCTCCTCCTCCTCCTCCTCCTCCTCCTCCTCCTCCTCCTCCTCCTCTCCTCCTCCTCCTCCTCCTCCTCCTCCTCCTCCTCCTCCTCCTCCTCCTCCTCGTACTCCTCCTCCTCCTCCTCCTCCTCCTCCTCCTCCTCCTCCTCCTCCTCCTCCCTCCTCCTCCTCCTCCTCCTCCTCCTCCCTCCTCCTCCCTCCTCGCTCCTCCTCCTCGCTCCTCGCTCCTCCCTCCTCCTCACTCCTCCTCCTCCCTTCCCCTGCCCACGCCCGCTCGGCCGCTGGACGGCCCTTGAGCCAAACCCGAGGACCCAAATTTCGGGCGCTCCGCCGACGGGCACTCCGCCGCGGGGGCACTCTTTGGACGGCCGCTGACGGGCACTGCTTGCATACGGCAACTTCGCGTCGTGCGGACCCCGTCATTGGTTCCCGACACCGCGGGGATCGTTCAAACTTGAACGATCGGACGATCGTTCAGCTTGAGAGGGGGAGGAGGATGAGGAGGAGGAGGAGGAGGAGGAGGAGGAGGAGGAGGACCCCCTCGCCCTCCAAAGGTTATTCTGGGCCACGGGCGGCGTTCAACCTTCAACGCACGCGGTGGGGTCGCCGCTGGTCGGCACGACGCAAACCGGCCGCTGACGGGCACTGATTACCTACAGTGGGGGCCCGACCACAAGAAACCTTCAACGAGAAACCGAACCCTGAGGCCCCAGGAGGTCCATGGATTCTTGGTGTGGGAACGGCGCGCCGCTCTGCACAGCAGAACCATCGAAACCAAGGAAAAACCCAGGGCCCCCTGGAGGCGAGCAAGGCGTGTGTCTTGGCATGGGTCTCCCCTGCGCCAAGACCACCCGCAACGGGGCGGCACATGGGGGCCGCGGGGTTGGGCTGCGGTGGCTTGGTGGGCGGTGAGGCACGCCACTACGCCGGGCCCCGAACGGGGCCCTGACGGGCCATCCGCAACCGGGTACAGCGAATGCCAGTCCACGAGAAGCCTTCCACAAATATGATGTTCCAGCCTACTTTAGCCTTGATCACCAGAAACAAGTTCGAGCACCAAACACGTACCGAAACTCGAAAGTTTTCACGTGTCGGGCCCTGGGAGACACTCGTCCGACACTGTTTCGGTACAGTTTCGACACTTTTCGGATGCTCCAAAATATTTCTGGGATTTGGTCCGTAAGTACGCTTAAGTACGATGGGAACACCATAATTCCACAAGAAACCCAATCCTGAGACCCCACGACGGCCATGGCTTTTTGGGTGTGAGAACGTCACGCCCTCCATCGCAGAACCATCGAAATCCCAGAAAACCAGGGCACCCTGGAGGCAAGCAAGGCGTTTCTTGGCATGGGTCTCCACTGCACTCCGCGATCGGACACTCTACGGACGGGCACTCCACGATCGGACACTCTAGCGGACGGACACTCTAGCGGGCCCTTGCACGGGCACTCCGCGATCGGACACTCTACGGACGGGCACTCCACCAGCGGGAACTCTGGACGGCGACACCGCGGACCCAACCCTCTGCGATGCGGGCAATGCTGCCACCAGGTGGCGGCATCCGAGCCCTACCCCCACCAACTATGAATTCTCCTGAATCGAAAGGAGGCAGGGGGGGCAGGGTTGGGATTTCGCCACGTGTTCGACCAACTCCGAACCTTACCCCCTCTGCCCATGGAGTTGCCTGAATCGTTCATCGGCGAGGGTGCGGTTCGGATTTCGACGCCGAGCAATGCCAAAACACGGCCCCAAAGCTGCAACCTCCAGCGGATTTCCCGACCTCCAGCGGGTTTCCCGTAACAGAAATACTCTCGAGTAGCTTCCTGCCCTGGCAGCGCGTGACCGAGCAGGGTGTGTGTTTGCCACTCTGGTTCCCCTACTCGAGGCATCTTAGATGGGGTCGGCGCAGATTTGGTCGCAGGTTCGCGCCTTCCTCTCCGATGCACTGGCGACGTCGACGCGGAAGACATCGGGCGCCACATCGAGCCGCATCGCCGATACAGTCCGAGCTGATTGGAGAGGACACGCGAGAGGACACACGATCCTGCCGAGTGCCACTTGGCCAGAAGCACGCAGAAGGCGTGGGTCTCACGAATTACGGGGCACCCTTGCAATTGTAATTACCCTTCGATTTGGCAAAGTCGACCTACTCTTCCGCCTCGACTGTGCATCGGCGATGCGGCGCGCGATCCTCCGATCCCCCATCTATCGCTCGGCCTCTCGCCCGCTCCAGCGCGCCGTCCACACTGCCCTGCATCGCCTGGCTCCCTTCGGCCGCACCGCCTGGCTCCACACTGCCCTGCATCGCCTGGTTCGCACTGCATCGCCCTGCATCGCCCTGCATCGCACTGCATTGCCCTGCACTGGCTGCACTGGCTCCTGCACTGCCCTGCATCGCCTGGCTCCACACTGCCCTGCATCGCCACACTGCCCTGCATCGCCAGACATCCTAGACCTGCCCGTCGTCCACACTGCCCTGCGTCGCCTGGCTCCCTTCGGCCCGCGAGGCCGCCACCGCCCGCGACCACCTGGGAGCATCGCCCGACCGCACCGCTTCGCTAGGGAAGCAGATCCTTGGCCAGCGTGTCACGTGGCACTGCGCGCCTATTGGGCTCTACGGCGCGACGGATGGGGGAACGTGTGTGGCCCTGCCTGGGCCTGGTCGGGCGTCCAGAGTCTCCTGGAGACCTCCGGAGAGCTCCGGCGACCACGGAGGGGGGGCGGAGCGGAGGGGAGAGCTCGCAGACCTCGGAGGACGGGTAGCGGAGAGGGAGAGACGGGGGGAGGGAGAGCGAGGATGTAAAGAGGAAGGAGGGAGCGGGGAGGAAGGACGAGTGGGTGGGGCCGCGAAGCTCGTTCCATCATTATCATCATCATCATCATCATCATCATCATCATCATCATCATCATCACCATCATCATCATCATCATCATGACCACCATCCTCCTCCTCATCATCACCATCACCATCAGCATCATCAGCATCGTCGTCGTCATCGTCATCATCATCGTTATCATCATCATCGCCATCATCATCATAACCATAATCAAAATCATCCTCCTCATCAGAATCACCATCATCAGCAGCATCAGCACAAGTATACGCATCAGCATCAGCACCAGCATCAGAACAAGCATCGACATGATCATCATCGTAACCATCATCATCATCATCATCATCATCATCATCATCATCATCATCACCATCGCCATCATACTCATCATACTCATCATCATCATCATCATCATCATCATCATCATCATCATCAGCATCACCATCATTATCATCAGCATTACCATCATCGTCATCGACATCATCATCATCATCATCATCATCATCATCATCATCAGCGTCGTCGTCACCATCATCGTCATTGCCATCGTTATCGACACCGTCATCACTATCGCAAGTGGAATCATCAGCGTCATCACCACCATCAACAGCAGCAACATCAGCATGATCATCGTCAGCACCATCATCAGCATCATCATCATCATCATCATCATCATCATCGTCATCGTCATCGTCATCGTCATCGTCATCGTCATCGTCATCATCGTCGTCGTCATCGTCATTGTCATCGCCATCAACACTCACAGCAGCAACCCCCCTTCGAACCGCAGGGGCCCAGACAGGATAAAGGCGGACAGAATTGGGCACATGCCCGTCTGCATCAAGCTCTCCATTCGCCCTTGGAACAGAGCCCAGGACCCAATACACGCGTCCGACCCTCGCACACCCTTCTGCTGCAGAGTGTCCAAAACTAATCGATCGGTCGGGAACCCGGGGCCCAGCCAAGCCCCGCCGACGCCACCCCCGTGCCAATTGGCGGCGCGCAGAAGGGTGGAGGGGGAGGGGGGGAAGGCTGCTTAGAGGGAGGCCGCTTCTTAGAAGGCGCCGGCCTCACATCTACAGGCAAGGCCCGCGCCTTTCTAAGAAACAGGGGTGCGTCTAAGAAGCCTCCCCCCCTCCTCCTGCCCCCCCCTTCTGCGCGTGGCCGAGCCAAGCCAGAGCAAAAGCACCCCCTCTGTGGGCGCACGGGCGAGCAGCGCAGAACAGGGAAGCACGGTCGTTGGACGCTCGAACAGGGGCACCTGCCTGGAGCCTCCCGCCCCACTCTTCCGCCGATGCTGGCAAGAGAGCCCAGAATCGAATCGATGAGTCGGATCGGCGACCGAAGCGAATCGGATCGGCGGATATCGGCAAGCTGATATGCTGCTCACCGAGGACCACGCTTTGGAGCCACCACGACCCCCGAAATAGCCGCCGAATTCAAAAAGAGTTGCGCGGTATTTTTGGTTTTTCGAAAACATGCAACGCTGGGCGCGCAGGCCCGCCTGCAACGCCCCCCAGGCGAGCATCCATTTTGAACCAAACATTACCGCGGCCGTCGCCACTATCACCACCGAGACCACAAGAGAACACATGTTACATTCATCATCGCGCTGAGGGCGCGTCAGCCTGCGTCGCCGCACATCGACTCTTTGCCACAGCCGAATTCTGCGTGCTCCTAGCAGCATTCGTCGACAGTTGTCAAAAGCAAAACCGCAGACATGGTCCTTGAAAGGGTCGCCAGGAGGGCCGCCGAAGGGGCAGCAGAGATCGTCGGCGAAATCGCCGCCGAAATTGCCGCCGAAATCGCCGCCGAAATCGCCGCCGAAATTGCCGCCGAATTTGCCGCCGAACTTGCCGCCGAAATTGCCGCCGAAATCGCCGCCGAAATCGCCGCCGAAATAATTGCGAACTCCGCCAAAATCGCCGCCGAAATTCAGCCGCCAAATTCGCCGCCGAAATTGTCATTGCCCTGTCCCAAGCGAAAATCATTATTTTTATCAAGCTCGATGATGCCGCGGACGCAGGCATTGAGTCACAGCCGAGGTCAACTCCGGCCTTTTTTCGGCGGCGCAATCAGGAATTTCAGCGGAAATTTCGGCGGCGAGTTTGGCGGCAAGTTCGGCGGCGATTTCGGCGGCAATTTCGGCGGCAATTTCGGCCGCAATTGCGGCGGCCCTGTCGACGGCTCTTTCGGCAGCCCTTTCGGCGGCAATTTCGGCGGCCCTTTCGACGGCTCTTTCGGCGGCCCTTTCGGCGGCGTTGCTTTTGCCAACTGTCGACCATGGCTGCCGGGAGCTCTGGGCACTCGGAGGCCCCGGCGGGCCCTGCGAGGGCCCTCGAAGGACCTCGCCAGAAACCGTATGCGAAGTAGCTCAAGCCACGCTTGATTGGCACGCGACGTGCAGAGCGAATTCCTCCTCGCAACGTGCAGGGCGAATTCCTCGCGTCATGCGTCAGCACGCTCTACGATGCGCATGGAAAGCACCGCGCGACAGGGCGCGCCTGCACACCGAAACCATCAAGAAAAACTCAATTTCGTTTGGAAGGAATTTCGGCGCGCGCCCCTTTTCGTGCCACTACGATGCCGCCAGTGAGACATCGGAACCCAAAGCGCAAGCCCAAGCCGAATCGAATCGGAATCGGAAGCCATGGGAAACGAATCGGATCGGAGGACGCGAAAAGAGCCCTGTGCTCGGTGAATCGACCAGAGGTCCGCCCTTTGGGAGGCGATGAACGTTCGTCTAACTCTCGAGACGGCTCGCCTGCTGAGCAGCCGTGAAGCGAAATATTGGAGGCTGCGGAGTGAGCACCAACACCAACACCGAGGGCTCCATGAGGGAAAAGTTATCATGGATCTTGGCGTTGGTGGTAATATTTCGACCGCCTTGGAAGCCCGAGAATTACCACCATCACCGAGATCGGGATCATTCCTTCGGTGGAGGCACATCGCCGATATTGGTGTTGGTGTCCACCTCTAGGCCTCCGAAGACGGCTCGCCTGGAAGAGCCGCCAGAGACAGCGAGAGAGGAGCTTGCACGCACGGCGGCAGAGCGCACCGCAGGTGTGCCGCAGGCGGCGCCTGGTACCACTTGTTCCGTCGGCGGTTCGGCAGAGGGCGACTGCGCTGGCGATGCGAGGCCTAAGCGGGGATGCCTTTGGAGCGAAGTGTGCCACCATGCAAGGGGAGGAGGGAGGAAGGAAGGACGCGGCCGCAGGGAGACAAGGACGGGGCGGGCGGCTCACGGGTCAAAACGCTCCCCGAGCGAGGGGAGGAGGAAGGAAGGACGCGGCCGAAGGACAACAAGGACGGGGCGTTTGCGGGTCACGAGTCAGAGCGCTCCCCGAGCGTGTGGCGCGGCCGCGCCTGGTACCAGAGGCCCAGGTCCTCGTCCACGTGGTGCCGCTGGCTGGCGCAATTGTTGTTCTTCGCCAGCTCCACCGGGCACTTCTCTCCTTGCCGTGCCGGCGCGCCTGCCTTCGCACCCTTCCCCCTGTCTGACCCCCACCCCCATTCCCTCCTCTCCCCTTCGCGGTCCCGATATTCTTCCTCCTCCTCCTCCTCCTCCCCCTCCTCCTCCCTTTCCTTTCTCATTCCCTCCCCCTGCTCCAGCTCCTCTCCCCGTCCTCCTCCTCCTCCTTCTCCTCCTCGCCCCCTCCTCCTCCACCTCCTCCCCCTGCTCCCCGCGTAAGTAGGTCTTCAGACACCCCCCGAATAGTGGAAGCCAATTATCTTTTCGACACCCTCTCCCCTTCGCAGTCCCCATCCTCATCCTCCGGGGGGCGCCTCGGGGGGTCGAAGCACTCACGACTCGAGGTTCTGCAGGGTAGGCCCGGCTGTCGCTAGCATGGTGAGCCCTGATCCGCCTGTTTTGCGACCTTTCCCTGATGGGCCCGCTCCCTGGGACTTCTCAGAACGTTCCCCGGGAAGAGCTTTTAGCGTTGCTGTGGGCACTCCGATTCTCTGTTGCGATGCTCGTGTACGTGACTGACTGTGCTGAAGTAGCTAGTGGATGGTGTGCCGAGCTTTCTCGGAGGCCCGAGGGGACACAGGCTGATCTCTGGAGAGAGGTTGGCAAGCAGTTGTTGAACCAGTCGAGGCATCCCACCAGCGTTGTCATTGTGTAAGTCCCTTCGCTTTTGAGGGCAAGTATATTTCTTGCCAGTCGCATTCCGAGCTGGCTAGTGATTGGCAACGCATGTGTTGACGCCCTTGCTGGAGATGCTGCCGCGCGAGCGCGAGTTTCCCAGGCCATTCGTCGCAAGGTTGTGTCAACCGAACACAAGGCCTCGCTTGTGCGTCCGAGGCGCTTGAGAGATGGCTTCGGTTAAATTCGAGCCTCCTAGACTTCGGGAAAGGCGGGTGCTAAGGTCCGTTCTGGTCCCCCCCCTCCTCCTCCCCCTCCTCCCATAGCTGTTGCACGCTTCGCGACCACCCACATCCTGACCGAAAGTGGGGGTGGGGGGGGCGTGCAGTGTGTGTGCAAAGGCTCTGCGGCCCATGCGGCATCGTCGGAATGGCTATAAAACGTGAATGCTTCCAACTCAGGCATGTGAACAATCAATTAGCCCGGTTTTCCGAGCGGACGGCGGTTAATTACACTTGGCTGGGGGCTGGACCCATCACGCACATGCCTTGATCGATCATAAAGACCATCTTCTGTGGTATTGCGGCACGTGCGGTTATTTCGGTCAGGCCCAGCTCAGAGGCCTAGCGGTGCCGTGCGAGCTACCCATCTTGAAGGCCAGGTGCGAATCTTTTAACAGGACAGATCGCGGCATGTTTCCGAAGTGCTGAGCTTTAAGCATGGTTATTGCTGCGTGAAGGCGGAGGTCCTGGAAGTCCCCATCCTCATCTTCCTCCTCTTCGTTTCTCATTCCCTCCACCTCCTCCAGCTCCTCTCCCCGCCCTCCTCCACCTCCTCCGCCTCGCCCCCTCCTCCTCCACCTCCTCTCCCTGCTCCCCCCTTATGTAGGTCTGCAGTCCCCCCTCCCCAGTAGTGGAAACGAAGTATCTGTAGCCATATTGACGGACTGCGGTGACACAACACATGTAATACGCATGTCCTCGTCTTGCCTATCTTCCTCCTCCTCCTCCTCTTCCTCCTCGTCCGTCCCTGCTCCGCCTCGTCCTCCGTGTAAAGAAAACGAAGAAGAGTAGGATGAGGATGAGGCGGAGGAGGGTGAGGAGGAGGAGGAGGAGAAGGAAGAGGAGGAGGTGGGGGAGGGGGAAGAAGGGGAGGAGGAAGAAGAAGCGGAGGAGCAGGATGAGGAGGAGGAGGAGGAGGAGGAGGAGGGGCGAAGTTTACCCACGCCGAGAGGAAGGGGGGGGGAGGGGGGGGTGCAAACCCAAAGACCTACCTCGACACCCCAGTCCACCATCTTTCCCTTCTCCAGTTGTTGTTCCTCCTGATCCTCCTGTATTCTCCGCATCCTCATCCTGACACCTCATCGTCCTGCTCAGTGCCAAGTCCTTCCTCCCCTCATCATCCAGCCTCGATGTACTCTTGTCATCCTCCTCCTCCTCCTCCTCCACCTCCTCCTCCTACTTTGCCAGCCATTCCAAATCCACTCCCTCTTTCCCCTTTGTGTCGTCCTCCTGCTCTTCCACTCCTTTTCTCCTCCTCATCCTGTTCCTGCTCCTGCTCCTGCTCCTGCTCCTGCTCCTGCTCCTCCTCCTCCTCCTCCTCCTCATCATCATCATCATCATCCTCCTCCTCTCTCCATCCGCCCCCCTCCTATCCACGGCGGCTCCTCCAATTCCTCTTCCTCCTGCTTCTCTCCTTCTCCTCCGCCCTGCAAGTCATTCGGCCATTTGGCTCAGCGCATCGCAGATCAAGCAGACCCTGCGCGAATAGACACTGAGGTATCAGGGCCCTGTCCCATGGGCTTCGCAGAAACGCAACAGGACAACGGTCTGCAAATGATTGCTGGTCGGTTTTTCGGGGCAGGAGGTGCCGACACACATGTGTGTATATATATATATATATATATATATATATATGTATGTGTAGATCTATGTCATTGCTCCAGGTTGGCAATGTCAATTTTATACAGGTAGATATATACACACGTGTATACATACAGAAGTATAGACACACGTGTGTATACATTATGTATGCGTGTATAAAATCTCCGCAAGCCCCCTTGTGGGGCTAACAGGCTCCGCGGCTTAGGCGTGCTGCTCCCTGCTCCAGGTCCAGCATCCCATGTTACAGTCCTGCGTTCTGCATCCTGCTGAAACTTGTTCAGTCGGGGCGAGTGGAAGGGCCGAGAAGGGCCCTTCGGGCGAAGAGAACTATGCACATGCACCGGTCCTTGCCAGGCCCATCCTTGGCCCCAGGATCGGTGCATATGCCTTCCTGGCAAAGGCAGGAAGGCGTATGCACCGATCTTGGGCTCAGGATGGACCTGGCCAACATCGGTGTATGTGCATGGTTCCATAATTTCTGATGGGCCCCTGGGACACACAAAAAAAACATGAGATTCCCACCCCAGAAGCCATCACCCCTTGTCAATTGCACCGTATTCACGCCCCTGGGGCCACAATCATTTGCACATAATGCAAGATTCGCGTTCCTGAAGCAATGCGCACTGGACATGTACACTGTGTTCGCGCTCCCGACACCACACCTTCCAATCAAGTACGCAATGTTCGCGTCTCCGAGGCAATACTTTGTCGTAAATTACACGATATCTGCGTCCGCGATGCCACGATCACTCGGAAATTACGCGTTCTTCGCGACCCCGACATCATAAATCCGAAGCGTGCGCAATATTCGCGTTTACGAGGCCACAGCCCTTCATGAAAGGCCCCCGGGACGGTACAAGCGGCCCCCGAGACGGCCCAAGAGCTCTTCAAGGCGCCCGAGATGGTCCCAGGACGGCCCAAAGAGGGGCCCAAGAGGCTAACATCCGCAATGTTCCTTCGGTCTTTGATGGGCCTGAGGACGCTCATATCTCCAGAGGCCCCCGTTCGGAGTTCCGGCGCTGCTCCACGACGGCGCCCAGACCTTCCAACGCAGCTCTGGCATCCCAGAGAGAGGGGGCCGGCGGCAGGGGGCGAAACCTCACGGATATGTGCATATATATATATATATCTATATCTATATCTATATCTATATAGATGTATATATATATATATATATACACTGCGTGCCCGGGCCGCCATTTGCAACGAAGTGGTGGACCGACACGACGCGGCACAGTGGACCTGCTCTTGGCCCGAAGCCCCCCAGCGGGCCAGGACCCGGCTCCCCCCGGCGGCCGCGCGGCGCCACGGCCGCTCCACGGCGCGGCAGGCCCGAGCCTGCGGGCACGGCAGCGTGCAGCGCAGCCTCGGCGCGCCTCCGGCGGCGCCGGGGTTAGGGGGACGAGCACTGCCAGAGACACAACCACTCGAGGGCTTTCTCGTGCTCATGCCATCGCTCGTTCCCCGAAGGGAACGAGCAATGGCATAACCACTCCCTGGCGCGCGGAGCGCGGATCCGAGAAATCCGCGCGGGCCTTCGAGATTTTTTATGTTTATGCCATGGCTCGTTCCCCTAAGGGTGCCGGCCCCGCCCTGGGCTGCTCGAGGGGGGGCATGTCTGCCTTGACCCTCCAGGAGGGCAACAAAAATAGCACCAGGACCTCGACACCCGAATTCCTGTCGAGGTTTTAGGTCGTCAGATTCGTATATAGGTCTGGAGGGCTATTGTCCAGCAGTCTGGAAGAGCCAGGACTACCTGGGGAGCTACCTATGCGCAGCCCGCAGCATAACCTGCCCTCCCTGACTCTGCTCCGCCCGCCCTTCCTCGCTCTTGAGGCGCAGTTGTTTTCTCCGCCCCGTTTGCACGTGTCGCTCTCGACTCGCCCAAAACGTTCTGAAAACGACACCCTGGAAGGTGGACGTCAGGCAGGCAGCAATATGATATCTGACACCGTATGGCAAAACCTCCCAAGCGTTTGAAATATCAACTAAGCGCCCGCCCCCTCGTCCCCGGAGTCCTCCCTTCGAGGCGACCGCCACGAAAGAACTCGCGATCATGTACGCCGTGGCGCCGTTGAGGCTCACCTGCCGGCCGCGCGCGTCTGTACCTCCCTCGCGGAGCGCTGGCCTCCTGGATGCTCCTGCCAGCGCCTCCTGCGCCCCTCCTCTGGCAGCGCACACACCCCAGGGACGCAACGCTGCCTGACGGGACCTTCCTCCCCCAATGCCAAGGCCGCGCTAACGGCGATGTTGTTTAACGGCGGTGTTGTGAACCCGATGCTTGTGACACCGAGCTCGCACAGGACACATGGTAGAAAATCACGAACCACACTTTCCTACATTTCAGATGTGCGAATGTACCAGGCGAAAACGACGCAGCGAATTGTAGGAAAACACGAACCACGATGTCCTACGATTGGTTTGGCCACGAACCACTCCCACCTAAAATGCCGAAACCTATATCGCCGTTGCCTACATTACCGTTAGCGTGTCTACGGCAATGGCACTCGTTCACCCTCCATCGTCCCTCCTCATGGCTCGGACTCCATTCGCCAGAGTCTCGGTTCGCTGGGGCTCGCTTCGCTGAGGCTTGGTTCACCGGGGCTTGGTCCCTGGCGAAGCGAGCCTGGCTCGATTCTCCCGGCTCGGTTCGCCGGGGCTCGGTTCGCCGGGGCTCGGTTCGCCGGGGCTCGGTTCGCCCGTCTCCTTTCGCCGCGGGGCTCAAGGCGCTCGAGTCTCGTGGCGACCGAGTCTCGTTTCGCCAGAGGCTCGCTTCGCCCGGGCTGGTGTCGCCGGGGCTCGCTTCGCCGCGGGCACGTTTCGCAGGAGTCTCGTTTCGCCGGGGTCTCGGCTGGGCGGGGGCTCGCTTCGCCGGGCACGTGAAGGGTACAGAAGGCCCTCAGGGGGCGCGGGCGAGTGGACCCTATAACGGGCGGGTCGGGTCGGGCGGGCGGACCCTGACGGGCGGGTTGGCTCGGGCGGGGCACGAAAGTATGACGCGTCATCGAGTTAACACGCGCGAGGGTAACAGGCGGGCCAGGTCGGGCGGGCAGACCCTAATCGTCGGGTCGGGTCGGGCGGGTGGACCTTAACGGGTCGGGTCGGGTGGGCGGGACATTCAAGTATGACGCATCGTCGAGTTAGCACGCGCGAATCCAAACGGGCGTGTCGGGTCGGGCGGGCAAACCCTCAAGGGCGGGTCTGGTCGTCCAGGCGGAACCTACCGGGCGGGTCGGGTCGGGTGGACCGGATATTAAAGTATGACGCATCATCGAGGTAACACACGCGAACCCTAACGGGCGTGTCGGGTCGGGCGGGCGAGACATTCAAAAAGGAAACATCATCGAGTTAGCACACGCGAACCGTAACGGGAGGGTCGGGTCGGTCAGGCGGACCCTAACGGGCGGGTCGGGTCGGGTCGTGTCGTGTCGGGCGGGCAGGACACATTCAAACTATGCATAAAACATCATCAAATTAGCACACGCGAGCCCTAACGGGCGGCTCGGGTCGGGCGAGCGGACCCTAATGAGCGGGTCGGGTAGGCCGCGCGCATCTTCACGGGCGGGTCTGGTCAGGCCGGCGTAGCTGGCGAATCGAGGCTCGGTCGAACTGAGCTGGGCGAATCCAGCCGGGCGATTCGATTCCTGGGCGAATCGAGCCGGGCGAAGCGAACCCCGGGCGAATCGGCGACTCGAGCCCTGGCGAATCGAGCCCCGGCGAATCGAGCCCCGGCGAATCGAGACTCGAGAGAACCGAGCAGGGCGATTCGAGCTGGGGCGAATCGAGCTGGGCGAAAAAGAAAAACAAACTGAAACTCAGCGAATCGAGCCGGGCGAATGAAGCCGGGGAGGTCGAGCTGGGCGAATCGAGCTGGGCGAATCGAGCCGGGCGAATCGAGACTCGGGCGAACCGAGTCGGGCGGTTCGAGCTGGGCGAATCGAGCCAGGCGAAGGCGAATCGAGCTGGGCGAATCGAGCCCGGTGGCCAGAGCGAATCGAGCCGGGCGAATCGAGCTGGGCGAATCGAGGCTCGAGCGAATCAAGCCTACGCCCTCCTCGCACCCTTCTCCCAATCACCCGCGCGATCGATACCTGGGCATTCTGGTGGCATCTCAGCTCCCCTGCCGTGTGCGGACGTCTGACGAGTGCGCTCATCCCAATGGGCAGCACCGGGTGCTGCTGCCTGACCACCGAGCGTGTCATCCTCATCCTCATCCTCATCATTCGAGCCAGGAGCCCAAAGATCCGATGTCGTGTTTTTTTCAATACGGGGTCCCTGGAAGTCCAGACCCCTTCCCGGGGCCGGTTTGTCATCCTGAATTGTTTTTGACGGTCCTGGGGCCCGGCGAGGGCCCCCAGGGGCAGAAAATAGCGAAAAACCTCCCTTCCTGATTTTTTAACGACACGATCATGTCTGGGAGCGGGTCATCCTCATCCTCATCCTCATCATTCAAGCCAGGAGGCGGGGCGTCGCATTGCCAGCCCAGGCGTCCCGGACAGCCACAACGGGCAGAACACTCTGCCGCGCGAGCAACCACCACATGAAAGAGTAAGGAGAGCAGAAAAGGATGGTACAATAAGGATCCCGTCACGAGACCAATGGGTCAACGACAGTGAGGACGACGGCGACCGCGGCTGCGACGACGGCCTGGCGATGACCGACGTCATCCAGAGGAAGTCAGAAGTCTCTGGAGGCCACGTGGAAGTAGTCCTCGAGACGCCAGAACCGAAAGGCCGAAAACCTGGATTATCTCAACTTGGCACCTCGAGCCTTCGACGACGACGACGACGACGACGACGACGACGACGACGACGACGGAGGGCAAGCGGGCGGGATGGCGGCGCGCCGGCGTGATGGTTGGTGGCGGGTCGTCTTTGAGCCAGTTGTCGTCGAGGATCGACTGGGGCACCAGGTGGGAGCAGGAGGGGGTGGGGAGGACAGAGAGGGAGAACGATACAACCAGGCTGCTGAAATAAGGAACGCTGAACAAGGAACGAAGCCCCTCTTTGGCACTAGAACAACCCGAATGCAAGAGGAGGGCTAGTAGAGGAACAACCACGGAATGACCTGAGGAACAACGAGCCCATTCCGAACCCAAAGCGGTCCTTGTTTCAGCGTCTCTGCTGTAGGGGGAACAAAATATAGGTGGGGACTGACTCTGGGGGAATGGACATCGACCTGGAAACTGCGCTACATCGCCGATGGGCCGGCGATATGACCCCGATAGCGAAGGCGCACTTTCCTGGGCAGGGTGAGCTATCGAGCCTCTGTCGGCGATCGATTTGGCGATAGGGGACTTATGCGTGCCCCATGAATCTATCCCCTACCCCAAGGTTGCCCCTGATAGGAGGGAGAAGGAGGCGGGCTCTTGTTTCTGACTCCGCCTAAGTAAGACCATCCGAGGACGCCCCTGGGACGACGAAGGAGAGAGTAAAAACAGGGCGGAACACTCAAGGTCACAGCGCTGCTGCAATAGAGGATCAACAAGTAGCATTCGCGTGAACATTGGAGGGTCCGAGCGGATGTCTTGGTTCAGAGCTGGAGCCCCCTGCCTGCAGCGCGGAGCGCGCCAGGGGTGGCGCCTGAGGCGCCGCTAAGGGGTCCCAGCGCAGATCCAAGACATCCGCCCGGACCGCCAACAATTTATCTTCATGCCGCTTCTGCTCTTCGAGGGGACGGACGGGGAGGAGAAGGACCAGATCTATGTGGTTCTCATCGTACGTCAGGACCAAATCCCAGAACTAAGTTCGAGCACCCAGAAAAAGTACTGAAACAGTGTCAAACGAGAATCGCTTCTCGGGGCCCCACGCTTGAAAACCTTCAAGTGTCGGTTCTCTTCTTGGTGCTCGAAAGTCATTATCTCTGGTGAGAAAGGGTCAGGCAGGTTGGCACCTCATACAACAAGATTCGGACCCCGAGGCTCGCGGATCAGACTTCGGATGTTGTGGCTCCTGCCCCCTTCTTCTCTGTGGCCCAGGGCGGGGCCTCTCGTCGCCGCGGCCTGGGTCCGCCCCGAGACCCTGGCCGGAGCATGCCGAAGGCCCCCCCAGCGGTCGAGTATCGGAGGATCGGCGAGAACGGGGAACGAAGAATGACATGAGCATAACAACTCGGAGGCCCGCGTGGACTTCTCGGATCGGCGCTGGGCCCCCCCGGCGGCGCCTCCGGCGCCTCCCCTCGCGCGCTCCGCGCGTCAGGGAGGGGGGTCCAGCGCGATCCGAGAAATCCGCGCGGACCTCCGAACCTTTTTTATGTTTATGTCCCTGTTCGTTCCCCTGGAAAGAATAGGCAGTTCCTGCGAGGTCTCCGTTGGAACGGCCAGGGACTACCAAGCAAACCAGCCAGGGACTACCAAGCAAACCAGCCTAGAGGGGGGGCTGCTCACTGGACCGACACAAGCCCGAGTAGACCCAGGACCAAACCAGATTGGGCCCGGCCTGCCGGGAAGCAGGATGCTACCCCAGAAGATGAACCGGCGCTGGTGCTAAACTTAGGTCGGGCCTGTCCCCCTAGAGGCCGATTTTGCACGAAAAGTTCAAAATAGTCAAACAAATGCTCAAAAATGCGAAAGGTAGTAGAAAAATCGTCCACATTGCATTTTTTGACTATTTTTGAATACCCCTCCTGTAGAGGGGCAGGCCCGACTTCATGCTAAACTGAACCCACCAGAAGTTGCGACCCGGTCGGTGTACGGAGGAGAGGGAGGATGGCAAGAAGGAGCGCGACGATCGGAGCCCGAGGCACCTCCGCAGGGGGAGGGGAGGGAGGCTCAGGAGATTGAGCCGATGGCGGTGGTGCTCCTCCCGGTGGGCTTGTTTTGCACGGCCACCACCACAAGCAGGAGGGGGAGGGGTCCTGCTCCTCCTCCTCCTCCTCCTCCTCCTCCTCCTCATCCTCCTCCTCCTCATCCTCCACCGCCTTCCCCCCTCCAACTTATGGTGGTGGTGGTGGTGGTGGAAAGCGGGCACATCAACTCCTGTTAAGGCGGAGGCGGGGAGAGGACGAATCCGCACGAGGGCAACCTTGGGACCTCGGCAAGGCGGGCGCCGAGACCGTCCCGGAGCGCTCCGGGACTCTTGAGCGACGATACTCACCCAATGGGACGCACAAAGACATGCTGGTACTACATGTTCTCCTTGGAGGCTCGCGTCCGACCCCAACATATAGCATACCCATATTGTAGTATATCGTTTCCCGAGCGGCGTGGCCAGAAAACGCCCGCCACGACGCATATACTATAAGATTTCTCGGTGCGCGCATCGCCCCCGGGGGGGCGACGCACATATAGCAGAAGTATGTTAGGGCGACGCCGATCCAAGGTCTGCCTGACCTGTCCCGAGTCCGCCCGCTCTTTCGACCCTCGGCCCACGACCGTGAAATCCCAGGGCCGGTCTTGCCTCCCGAGCTGCTGTTTATGACGGCCCTGCGGCCCGGCGAGGGCCCGTGGAGGCCAAAAACAGGGGGAAACCTCTGGCGTGACCTTCGTTCTAGAAAATTATGGGCCAACTGTCCACCACCACTGCCGCAGGTAGGACGGGGGAGAAGGGAGGATGGGGAGACCCTCCTCCCCCTCCCCCTCCTCCTCCTCCTCCTTCTCCTCCTCCTCCTCCTCCTCCTCCTCCTCCTCCTCCTCCGCCTCCGCCTCCGCCTCCGCCTCCGCCTCCGCCTCCTCCTCCTCCTCCTCCTGCTCCTCCTCCTCCTTCTCCTCCCCCTCCTCCCCCTCCTCCCCCTCCTCCTCCTTCTCCTCCTCCTCCTCCTTTTCCTCCTCCTTTTCCTCCTCATTTTTCCTTCTCCTTTTCCTTCTGCTTCTCCTCACGCTCCAACCTAACCTGATGGAAATCGGCCGCATCATAAAGCTCGACGACGCTGACGCTAACGCCGACGCCGCCGCCGCCGACGCGGCGCCCCCGTGCGGTGCGGCGGGCGCGCCCCGCACTTGCCGTTCTCGCCCGTGGAGCCGGTGAGGCCCCGCAGGTAGCTGCGGGTGCCGAGCAGGGCCCAAGGCACGGGCAGCATCTGGACCGGCCGGGGGGCTCTCCTCGCCCTCCTCCTCCTCCTACTTCCCCTCCTCCTCCTTCTCCTCCTCCTCCTCCTCCTCCTTCTCCTCTTCCTCCTCCTCGTCCTCGTCCATCCCTCCTCCTCCTCCTCCTCCTCCTCCTCGTCCTCGTCCATCCCTCCTCCTCCTCCTCCTCCTCCTCCTCCTCCTCCTCCACCTCCTCCTCCCCCTCCCCCGCTCCTCCCCTTGCTCCTCCTCCTCCTCGCCCCCACGACTGGAGGGCAGCCAGAGGGGACCACGACCAAGACCGCACATGCAGGCGTCGTGTGGATCTTGGTCCGCGTCGGCCTATGTCAATGTCAACTCGTAGATCCTCCTCGCGGATCGGCGACGGCCGACATGGACCGTGACTAAGATAGGCGTCGACAAGATCCCGCGACATCTTGGTCATGGTCCCGGTGTTTCCTCCATCGAATGGTGTTACTCCTCCTTTCCCCCCCTTCCTCCTCCGAGTCGTGGGGCCGTGGTGGATCCCAGCAATGGCCGCTTGGACGCCGAAGCGCCGCCGGGCACTCTGGGAGGCGCCACCCTCCGCGTGGTCCTTTGTCACGCGTTGGAACAGAGGGCAGGTGGCACGACTATTTTGGCGGACCCCCGGCCCGGGCCAGCTGTGACGGGCGAAGCCTGCACCGGACACAGCTGCAACGACTGAGCCGTTCCAAAGAGGTGGCTCAGAGCAATGACCTCGTGATCCTCGATCGGGCGGAATGACGCTGAAGTTCAGAAGCACATTCTGGAAGTTGTCGTAAAAGCGGTACAAGGCTACGAAGGCCGACTGGGGAGCCATGAGCCCAAATCTGCATTGATTAAGCACAAGACTAAGCTGGAATAAAAAACATGTGCACAAGTTCGCTGGTTTTCGACCGCGGGTATACCAACGCCGATTCTGAATAGACCCCCCAGGATATGCATCCTGACTGGGTTTGATGTCCGTTCCATGGGAGCCTGCGTGGCCCCCGGCGCTGCCCGATTTGGGCCTGATTGGGACCAGATTTGGAACAAATTCTTAAGACTTGGACCACATTTGGACCAGACTTGGAGTGGATTCGCGCGGACTAGAAGAACGAGGAGGAAGAGGGGGAACAGGAGGGGAAAGGAGGAGCAGGAGGATGGCCCAAATGCGGTCCCTGCGCGGTCCAAATTCAGGAAAAGCTGATTTCGGCGTCGCCGCCCAAGACTCCCATGAACAGACATCGAGACTGGGGGAGGCCTGTGGAGCATGGGCGATGGGGGCTACGAGGACGCCCAAAAAGCTCACAGCGGGCCCAACTGGGCCCCAAAACCTCGATCCCTGGTTTTAGGATGCTAATTCGGGGGACTTTGTCTGTCCCGTCGCGCCCTTTATCCGCGTCGAATCCGTGTCGTATCCACGTTGGACCTGTCGAGTCCGCGTCGAATCCACGTCGAATCCGCCTCGCGCCCGCGCCGCATCCTCGCCGAACCCGCGTCGGACACAAAAGAAGACGCCAATTTGGGGACAGAGAAGCCCCCCGAAAGTGCAATGCCCGGGTCGGGGGTGGACAGGAATTGTAATCTTATGTGTTTGCTTGTCATTATCATTGATGCGCAATCCTGCGTTCTAAATCCTCGTCGCGAATCGTCGTCGTGCTTGTCGTACTCGTCGTCGTGCTCGTCGTACTCGTCGTCGTGCTCGTTGCCGTTGTATCGTCTTGCTCGTCATCGTACTCGTCGTCGTACCTCGCCATCGTACTCGTCTTCGCATTCGTCCATGTCGGAGTACTTCGCGTAAAGCGTACCGGGCCACCAATTGTGAAGCTGGCGGCGGTACGCATTAAATGCGGACAGCACCACTCCGCTTGCGCATCTTCGAGAGCTCTCCACGCTGACTCCGCCAACCATCTGAATCATTCCGTTCTTCATCGCCAAACACGGGGGTGGCAGCGCGTCCATGGCAATTTTGGGCGGCATGACTGCCACGCGCAGGTGCTACGGGCACGCCTGCGTGAAAGCGCAACCGCGCCGAGCCGGCTTGAACCAAAAAGTCTACAGTTCTGCATGGGACGCGAGTTCTCGCCAGCGCAGACCTCTGGTGTCGAGACATTGCCACGCCTGCCACGCTTTGCAAGCCCGAAACGGATAGCGACCCCACCCCCAGCGCGCCCCCTGTGGTGTCGAGGATGTGCCACGCCTACAACGCCTTGCGAGCCCGAAACGGATAGCGACCCCGACCCCGAGCGCGCCCCCCTTGTGGAGTCGAGGATGTGCTACGCCTGCCACGCTTTGCGAGCCCGAAACGGATAGCGACCACCCCCAGCGCGCCCTCTGCGGTGTCGAGGATGTGCCGCGCCTGCCACGCCTTGCGAGCCCGAAGCGGATAGCGACCCCACCCCCAGCGCGACCCCTTGCGGTGCCGAGGATGTGCCACGCCTGCCACGCTTTGCGAGCCCGAAAAGGATAGCGACCCCACCCCCAGCGCGCCCCCTGTGGTACTGAGGATGTGCCACGCCTGCCACGCTTTGCGAGCCCGAAACGGATGGCGACCCCACCCCCAGCGCGCCCCCTGTGGTGTCGAGGATGTGCCACGCCTGCCGCGCTCTGCGAGCCCGAAACGGATAGCGACCCCACCCCGAGCGCCCCACCTGGTGTCGGGGATGTGCCACGCCTGCCACGCTTTGCGTGCCCGAAACGGATAGCGACCCCGACCCCGAGCGCGCCCACCTGCAGTGTCGAGGATGTGCCACGACTGCCACGCTTTGCGAGCCCGAAGCGGATAGCGACCCCACCCCCAGCGCGCCCCCTGTGGTGTCGAGGATGTGCCACGCCTGCCGCGCTTTGCGGGCCCGAAGCGGATAGCGACCCCACCCCGAGCGCGCCCCCTGTGGTGCCGAGGATGTGCCACGCCTTCCACGCTTTGCGAGCCCGAAACGGATAGCGACCCCACCCCCAGCGCGCCCTTGTGGTGTCAAGGGTGCGCCACGCCTGCCAGCTTTGCGAACCCGAAACGGATAGCGACCCCACCCCCAGCGCGCCCCCTGTGGTGTCGAGGATGTGCCACGCCTGCCACGCTTTGCGAGCCCGAAACGGATAGCGACCCCACCCCGAGCGCGCCCCCTGCGGTGTCGAGGATGTGCCACGCCTGCCACGCTTTGCGAGCCCGAAACGGATAGCGACCCCACCCCCAGCGCGCCCCCTGTGGTGTCGAGGATGTGCCACGCCTGCCACGCTTTGCGAGCCCGAAACGGATAGCGACCCCACCCCCAGCGCGCCCCCTGTGGTGTCGAGGATGTGCCACGCCTGCCACGCTTGCGAGCCCGAAACGGATAGCGACCCCACCCCCAGCGCGCCCCTTGTGGTGTCGAGGATGTGCCACGCCTGCCACGCTTTGCGAGCCCGAAACGGATAGCGACCCCACCCCCAGCGCGCCCCCTGTGGTGTCGAGAATGTGCCACGCCTGCCACGCTTTGCGAGCCCGAAACGGATAGCGACCCCACCCCGAGCGCGCCCCCTGTGGTGTCGAGGATGTGCCACGCCTGCCACGCTTTGCGAGCCCGAAACGGATAGCGACCCCACCCCGAGCGCGCCCACCTGTGGTGTCGAGGATGTGCCACGCCTGCCACGCTTTGCGAGCCCGAAACGGATAGCGACCCCACCCCGAGCGCGCCCCCTGTGGTGTCGAGGATGTGCCACGCCTGCCACGCTTTGCGAGCCCGAAACGGATAGCGACCCCACCCCGAGCGCGCCCCCTGTGGTGTCGAGGATGTGCCACGCCTACAACGCTTTTGCGAGCCCGAAACAGATAGCGACCCCACCCCCAGCGCGCCCCCTGTGGTGTCAAGGATGTGCCACGCCTGCCACGCATTGCGTGCCCGAAACGGATAGCGACCCTACCCCCAGCGCGCCCCCTGTGGTGTCGAGGATGTGCACCCTCTCTGGTGTCGAGAAAGTGCCACCCCTGCCACGCTCTCCGACCTTGGCACGCATAGAGACCGCGCTGAGGGACCACCCCCTGCGCACCCTCTGCGGTGTCGAGAAAATGCCACGCCTGCCACGCTTTGCCGCGCCGTGCCCTGCGCGCCTGCCCTGTGTGCTATGCTGTGCTGAGCTGTGCTGAGCTGTGCTGTGATGTGCTGTGCGGTGCCGCGCTGAGCTGAGCTGTGCTGAGCTGTGCTGTGCTGTGCTGTGCTGCGCTGTGCTGTGATGTGCTGTGCTATGCTGCGTTGAGCTGTGCTGTGCTGTGCTGTGCTGTGCTGTGCTGTGCTGCGCTGAGCTGTGCTGTGCTGTGCTTCGCTGTGCTGTGCTGCCCTGTGTGAGAAGGAGAGAGAGGTGAGGTGTGAGTGTCGCGGGTGCGGCGCGGCAAGGAAGAAAACAAGAACCCCGCGAAGCACGTTGGGAAAAACACCTTTCTGGTGAAAGCGACTCGCGGCCAGACCCAGCGGGCGCAGGCCCGCCGACACTGCGACCACAACTGCCTCTGGAGCACCGACAAAACAAAAAACAATGCGCGAATCGGCTCGGCAGGGCCGGGGCTCACCGCCGACACAAATCTACACAAACATCAACTTTCGGAGATCCGCGCGGATCTACGTGGTCGACGCTCCACCCCGGCAGCGGCCTGGCGCGCTCCGCGCGTCAGGGAGGGGGGGGGGTCCAGCGCCGATGTGAGAAATCCGCGCGGTCCTGAGATAAATATGCATCAGCTCCTGCACCAGACCCCCTCCTACGCGCCCTGTTCTTCATTGGCCAAGTAGCGCGCGCGAGGTCACGCGTATGCTTATGCTGTTGGGCTCTGCTGCGGTTATCATCAACCTGCCGTCGCTCGGGCGTCCGTGCCCCTTGCATTGCTTGGTCTCGTGCGTGCAGTTTTTGGCAGGATGCCTCCGCCGAGAAAAATGCACACGCCCGAACGATGCCAAGCCAACTGCGGGATGGCCTTCTGGGCCTCGGAAGATTCGCAACGCGGGCGCCACATGGGGCCGGGCGGAGCCTTTTGCCACTCCCT